TTTTGGTAAATTTATTTGGAAGGGAACATAAGGAGATTTTACTTGCTTCCTAGGTTAATACAATATATATCAAAAAATCAAAATTTTCCATCATAGATATATGTGTGATAAGTGATTCTGGAGTTTCTAATGAAGGGGTAGCCATAACTATTGAATAGGATCTACTGCAGGCTTGTTATTTATCATAAATTTTATTCTTACTCTAAAATTTTAATTAGATTATTAGTTAGTTGATGAGTAAAGTGTTAAGATAGTCCCTTGATAGTTTAGATGGGGTCTTTTTAGTCCCAAAGTCTATTAAAGGGACAAATTTATCCTCGAACTCTTAAAATCGTCGCTGAAATGGTTCTCTATGGGGATTATTTCAGCTCTTATTACTAGAGTGGGGATTAAATTAACACATTTATAGACATTTATAATTAAAATGACCTCTTACAAAGAGTCAAGGGACTATTTTGACACTTTTCTTGTTAGTTAATAATTTGCCTTGGTAATTGCTACTTGTTGCTATTTTATATTGTTCACTGATTGTTATTGAATTGAAAGTTATGGCTAATCCTTTCTGTTCTATGATGCTTAGGGGATATATTTATCAATTAGAATTTTTGGTTCTACTTAAAAGCATGTTTTTGATAGATGCCTGTCTACAGTAACTATATTTATTCTTCTAATTTTTTTGGATGTATAATTATTTATTCATTTTTTTCTTATGATCTTATATCAGTTTCCTCTTGGCTCAACAAGTAACAATGAGTGCCATGTCATGTATTAAAATTGGCTTCCCTCTGGAAACATGTTTTACGCAGTATTCAATAGCTTTTATTTTTTGCATTCTTTCTTTTATGAACAATCACAATATTTTGAAATGTCGATCAGACTTCTCAAATAATTGGAATAACATTTCCAATTTTAATTTGTTAATATCTGTAATTGTAATAGATTTAGAGCATCTTCTTAATTGTATGTAAGAATTTTATTCATTTCCTTGTCCTAGTATAATTGATTCTCGAAACTGCTTATGCAGCTACGAAACCAAATGAAAGCACCAATATATGTCTATTATGAACTAGATAACTATTACCAAAATCATCGAAGGTAAGGTACATTTTTTTAATCTAGCTGACTTTTTTTTTTAAGTTTGTAGGAAAACATTTTGTAGATTTTTTATCAGCTATGTGATTACTACCTCAAATTCTGCTGTTTACTACTGGTGGACAAAATTTTACCAGGTATGTAAAGAGTAGAAGTGATAGACAGCTTCTTCATGGATTGCAGTACAAGGACACTAGTTCCTGCAGACCCATAGAGTCGAGCAATGGTCTCCCTGTCTTACCTTGTGGGCTAATTGCATGGAGCTTGTTTAATGATACGTTCACATTTGATGTCAAGGCTGGAAAGTTAAACGTCAACAGGAAGAATATTTCTTGGAAAAGTGACCGAGATCACAAGTTTGGCAATGATGTTTACCCATTTAATTTCCAGAATGATACCTTAATTGGTGGAGGAAAACTTGATCCAAGTATTCCTGTGAGTATTTCAACCTATTAAAGTTTATTCATGTAATTCAACTTTTTAAGTAGGGAATATCCAGAAGGTTTTGTTTGCTTCTATATTTATATCTCAGAATCTTTATTGGGGTAAATTGAGTGACAAAACATATGATGCTTCTAAGTTGGAATGGCTATATGAAAATTCCTTCCTGTTTTCGCATTCTGAACATTGTTATTTAGGCACACATTCCTAGGAGAAAAAGTCTCTCCAACTCTTTAAAATGGAGTGAAGGGAAAATTTTATTCAATTAAACTCTGCTAAAATGTAAATGCTCTCTAAATTTCTAATACTTTTTGTTTTTTCACTATTTGGATTTATTTCGAAGCAGCTGAGCGAACAGGAGGACCTCATTGTTTGGATGCGTGTAGCTGCACTACCCAATTTTCGGAAACTTTATGGTGTGATTGAGAATGATATAGATGCTGATGAAGTTATCACGATTCAACTTTCTAATAACTACAATACTTACAGTTTTGGTGGGAAGAAAAAACTGGTTCTGACGACTTCAAACTGGCTGGGAGGCAAAAATAATTTCCTCGGCTTATCCTACATTGCCACAGGTTTCTGCAGCATTCTAGTTGCCATTCTGTTTGCCTTAATTCATGTGAAATTCCCAAGGTAGATTTTACTTATCCTTGTATCATAACATATTCTATATTCTAGTCCTCCATTTTGCAAATCCAATCGCCATAGTAAAGATGGTCAAAGTAGAATTAGAATCATGAGATAGCCCTCCCTTTTCTTCCAATGATTAGGCACTTGTGCATGCTAATAAAGATATGCTTTTCATTGTGTTTGAATTTGCCATTCTCATTACTGCAGATTGGTTCTCTAATCATTCAAGTGCCTTCTGCTACTATATTCATCCTTTCCTTGACTTTCTCATTTGATATAGCTTTGGATTGGTCATGTTACTTTTATCTGAAGTTCACACTATCATGATACTTCCATGAATTGTTGATTGCTTCTATCATCTCTCTCTTTTTTTTTTTTCCTTTTTTGTTCGCTTATGTCATCTCTCTTCCTGATTTAATTAGAATTAGGTTTAGTTTTAATGTTTTTGTAAATTGAATAACTGCTGTTAATCTATCTTTTCATCTTAGCTATCTGGCTATTATATAACACTGAACTCCAATTTGTCTTCCACCTCCATGCAGGCCTCATCGCGATGCATCATACTTACACTGGAACAGGAAAAGCAGCGCCACGTCCAGGTAAACAGACCCTGAAAAGTGCATGGCGTTATACTCTCATGATTGGCTTCAGTGCAACATGTTTCTTTTCATATTTTCTTTTAAATGGCGGATGGAAGAGAATGATTCAGTTTCATGGCTTTCATTGAACCAAGCCCTTTTCAGGATCACAAAAACCACCTTATTTTTCTGTAAGTATATTTTGTTGGATCATGTGACTTTTCATGATAAATAAGAGGTTTTAAATTGTTGATTTGTTGGTCTCCATTCTTGTTTGTTATTTTGAGTTTTCTTAGAAATTTAGGCCAATCCAACTATATAAACTTGAAAATTGAGTGGGAACTATTCGCTACTTTCATTGTTCCTTTTATCAAATTCTATATATATTTTTTTCCTGCTAGGCATGAGTTTTTTATGAAGGGTTGTAATAGATAAATTTTATAGATAAAATTTTGAACTGAATAATATCAAGAATGTGGTCATTTACGTTTAACTATTTTTTGTGAGGATATTATAAATATATTCTGTGTTTATGCTTTTTAAGGTACTCTGGTAAGAAAGTCTGGGCAGCTAATTTGTTAAGAAATTTTGCCTGGACTGCCACAACTTATATATTTTCAGCAAGTGATTGTCACAACTACACCTTGCTCAAAGAGTCACTTACTTGGCCTTCAATGTAGACAGAGAATGTGGGCCTGAGAGCCTACTTGAAGTTGGCAATGATAAAATTTGAAACTATTTTCATTATATAACATTTAATCTTTACAGGGAAAAAAGAAAAAGAAAAACCAAACATGAAGGAAAAATGACTATTAGTCAGGTGGAGCTTTCTTTATGCACTCTAACCAGCTTCCAAGTCTCTGTATAGAAAGGTTCTATGTATGATAATTAGAAAGAAGTAGACCATTTTGGACCAACTCGTTTATGCTAAATTGGATGCCTTGTTCCAATTGTCATTATTGGTTCAATACGTTATTGAATGTTGAGGACAAGGAATTAAATAACTACTCTTCAGAAGTCTTGAAGTTAGCAAATTCTCGACAAGTAACATTGGGTTTCTTGCCCATGTTCCGCACGACTCCGCATCCACTTGGTTTTTTTCGGTTTGTGAGAAAGGCATCACCAAGGTAGATTCCTTTTAAAAAATAAGCTTATTTAACTCTTGTTTTTTGTTTTGTGTTGATTCTGTCTCGTCTTTTACCTTCTTAAAGTTAGATTTCATATTATTAATACTTTGTCGATGAAATAAATTCTGTCTCCATTGTTTCTTTATTATCCTAAATAATGATAAACCAGAACACTTCAAAAGCACTGAGCAAGAGGATAACTTATGTGATAGTTATATGTACACATTATGAAGAGTCAAGTAGATCCCGATGTCCAATAAGACTTTCATGCTTGCTAGATCATCTTCGTGTCCTCAGAGAGTGGTCAGGTAAAGGCTGATTTTGGATGATTGTTAATGTCGTCTTAATACGGAAGCACTTAATGAAACAATTCTTGTTTTTCCAGTTTTTAATCTTATTCTCTAGCTTGAACATCTTTAAATGTTTTGAATGGAAGGAGAAGCTTCTGTCCTTGAACCCCATCAGTGATAGGAAATTTCACAAAACAATTTCCAATTTTACTTTGGTTTAGGATCAATTACAAACTAGACCACGCCACGGAATAAAAAGATTGCACAAGATTCGAGAAAATCAGAACAAAAGTTATAAATGAAAGCACAATCAAAGTAATTAGAAAAATACACGAGAATTTTACGTTAAAAAATTCGAGAAGGGAAAAAAATCACGGAACCACACCGCCAGAAATTGTACTTTAAAATTCACATTGTTATACAAAAAACTTACTCAAGTTCCTTCTCTACACATAAGAAAACTTACAGGACCACGCTCAAAAAACTTTCTTCTCTGATTCGACGAATGAATTATGTTGAATCATCGAAATCCACCTCTTCAACTATTCTCTCCTTCATCGGGATGCTTGTCAAAGAACTTTAGAGGGAAATCTCACTTCATACACTTACGCCGTTGAAATTAGCTTAACTGCTTCAGTTACATAGGCGTCTGGACTTGGCGCTTAAGCATCGTGCTTACTAGATCGACGTCTTATGTTGGGCTCATAGGTGCCAATAGGTTGGCGCATAAGCTCTAGCCTCTCGGGAATAAAGCAGCACATAAGTGTAAGTAGGCGCATATGCACCCATAGGCTGGCGCATATGTGTCAGCTTCTCTACTGTTCGCACTTAAGTGAGTGCTTATGCGCCACAACCCGACACATATGCGCCCACAACCCGATGCATATGCATCGGGTGCTTTGCCCCTATAAGTTGCTCTCCAAATCTGCCTCCAAACATAACAATCTACCACTTGGAGACTTATTGCACCCAACACCAGTCCTTTGTTGGAGAGATGCTTCCCTTAAAGGGGCAAGGAGAGATGTTTTCCTTGAAGGGTATCATTCTCGACTGATCGAGGTAACACTACCAAGCATCAAAACATAGTCGGACATCAATGTACCCTGACAAAACATGGGTCGAGTGTAAAACAGATGCGGCATGTTGTTTGACATGATGGATAGAACCAAAAAGTTGATCAAAAATATCAATGAGGTTAGATAACCATGATGGTCTTATCTCAAGCGTCCTTTAACAAGCACTAGTGAAGATAATTTGTTGGGGATTTCCCTGTCACTTAGCAAGATAGTTCTTTGCTGGGGGGCATCAGATATCTCGATGAAGGACAAATGATACGGCATGTCATTCGACGAGGCGGACATAACCAACCAATTCAATCACAAAAATTTCATAACATCTAGGCAGACTCAGAGGTCCAACCATAGGGTACTTCAAGCAAGCGCTAGCGAAGTAACTCTCGCTAACAAATTCCTTAGAACTAGCAAATTAGCTCTCGCTGGGGAAAACTCAATAGATATTTCCTACGAGAATTGGCTAAGACAATTCTCTTCTGCAAAATATTGGGACAATTATCAGACATTAAAAGTGGCTTTGACTAAGAACATAGATTGGATAGACAATCAGTGAAGTCTAAAACTAATACGACATGTTGCCTTAACAAAACAATGAAAATTGATCGAGTCAAGTATATCACAGAGGTTGGATGACCTAAGCATGCCAACCACATATATGATACTTTTGCCAAGATCCTTGGTAGGATAAACCCACAGGGAATTATCACAGTATCCCAAAATGGTTGGTAAAAATAGAATGCATCAATCCTAAGAATGTTTAGCCCTCATGTTAAACCAAAAACATAGGGGGAATATACCACACTTATCTAAGGGTCCGTTTGGGGCAGCTTATAAGTGTGGGCGGCGTTTTCAAAACGCCGCCATACCGTTTGGTTCGCGCTTTTCGCCAGCTTATCCGAAACTGCGTTTGGGTTTTT